AGGAGGAGGAGGTGGAGAGGGGAGGAAAGGAGGAGGAGGAAGCAGAGGAAGGAGGAGGAGGAGGAAGCAGAGGAGGAGGATGAAGGAGGAGGAGGACGGAAGGAAAGGGGGGGCAGGAGGAGGGAGGAGGAGGAGGAAAAGGAAAAAGGAGGAGTGGGGGAAGGAAATAGACAGGAAGGAGGAGGAGGAGGGAGGAGGAGGACCCGACGGAGGAGAAGGAGGAGGAGGAGGAGGAGGAGGAGGAGGAGGAGGAGGAGGAGGAGGAGGAGGTGGAGGAGGAAGCGAAGGTAACTGCGCCCAGCATCATCAGCGGCAGAGTCGGGACCAGCTCAGGCGCAATGGGCGGGCAGTGGCAGCGGGCCTCAGCGCTGCTTGCCGACACGGTGGACGGGAGGCTGGAGCCAGACGCCATCGGCTACAACGCTGGGGTTAGCGCATGCGAGAAGAGGGGACAGTGGCAACAAGCATTGGCGCTGTTGAGTTCGAGGCGGGGTGCGAAGCAGGGGCCCGACGTCATTAGCTCCAATACCGAGATGAGAGCCTACACGAAAGGCGAGCAGTGGCAGTGGACTCTGACGCCGCTCGGCGAGAGGCGGGATGCGAAGCTGGAGCCCGACGCAATCAAGTACAGCGCTGGGGTTAACGCATGTGGAAACGGCGGGCAGCGGCAACGGGCCCGGACGCGGCCCCGCGAGATGCGGGAATCGCAGGTGCAGCCCAACGTCATCTGTTCCAATGCCAGAATCAAGATGTAGGAGAGGGGGAGACAGTGGCAGCAGGCATTGGCGCTGCCCAACGAGTTGCGGGATGCGAAGCTGGTACCCGACGCAATCAGCTACAGCGCAAGGATCCTGGAAGGCGCGACGAGCGATCAGGAGCAGCGGACACTGGCGCTGGTCAGCGAGAGGCGGGAAGCTGCAGCCCAACGTGATCGGCTACAACGCAAGGATCAGCACATGTGAGAAGGACGATTGGCAGCAGCGGGCTCTGGCGCTGCTCAGCAAGATGTGGGATGCGAAGCTGGTGCCAGGGACGTAATCAGCTACAGCGCTGGGATCGGCGCGTGCCCGAAGGGCGCTCAGTGGCAGCCGGCTCTGCCGCTGCTCAGCGACAGGGGGCCGAAGATAACTGCGCTAGGTGCCCTCAGCTGCAGTGCGAGACTCGGCGCGTGCGAGAAGGGCATGCTGCCGACGCGGGCCGAGGTGGTTCCCCGGGCGACCCGGGATCCGAAGCCAGAGTCGAGCGTCTTCATCAGCTACAGTGCCGAAATCGGCGCTTGCGAAAATGGCATTCTCTGGCCGCGGGCTCTGGCGGTCTCCCAGGGGCCCCTCGTGCTGGCGGCGGCGCGCCTTCTGCAGGCGCGGGCCCGCCACTGGGGCCTAGGCACCTGGCTGGCCAGCCCACGGCGGACCGGAGGGGGGGGGGGAGCAACGGCAGCAGGCTCCGCCGCCGCGGCCCGCGCCGGCGAGAGGCGCCTGCAGCCAGGCGGCAGGCGGCTGGCGGCGATGAGCTGGGCCCTGAAGGCGGCGCGCCGCCGGGCAGCGGCGGGCCAGCCTCGGGCGAGGTTCAGGGTCCGCCTGGCTTCGGCCACGAAAACCCCTCCTTGGGAGCGCGCCCCTGCCCCGCACTCACATTGGAGCGGGGCAGGGCCAGCATGGCCCCATCGTCGGGCGCCGACGCCTGAGGGCGACGGGAGGCGCCTGCAGGAGGAGCCAGAAGAGCGAGAGGAGGTAGAGGCGGCGCCGCAGGGCGCAGGACGTGCCCGGGGCGAGGCTGCAAAGGCACAGGCGGCGCCGCAGGGGCCAGGAGGGTCCCAGGCGGAGAGAAACCCGAGGGCGCCCGAGAAGGCCGAGGAGGCCCGGCGCCAGCGCGAAGAGGACGAGGGCGAGGCAGGTAGGAACGCGAGGCAAGGAACAGGGAGGGCGAGGAGGAGAGAAGCTTGGAGGGCGAGGACGAGGCGCAGCGCAGGAGGCGCAGCCCAGGGGGAGGAAACGCAGCACAGGAGGAGACGCAGCACAGGAAACGCAGCACCGGAGGCAGACCGCACAGGGAGAGGCGCATGCCAGACCCGGGCCCGCCACTGGGCTGATGGGAGGTGGCGGCCGGGCGACGTCGCTCAGCAGCGGCCTGCGCGTGGAGGGGCGGCCTGACCAGGACGAGGGCGCAAAGGGCGCAGTCAGGGACGAGCCCGAGCAAACCGCAGCGCTCATCACGAGCAGAGGCGAGTCGTTCGGGCCCCTCCGTTCAGCCCCAGGCCACGAAAAACGAAGAGCTGGTGGAGAAGTGGGCCCAGGAGCACCACGCACAACACCACCAGTGCACCGAGCAACGCCACAAAGACCACGTCGCCCACGACCACGACCACCGAGACCAGCATCGAGACCACGGCGAGCGACCCAAGGAGGACGGGATGGGGGCGCCCGCGGGCGGCACTGGCGGACCCCTCCGGGAGGCGCCACAGGGGGCAGGCGAGGAGGATCGAGAGGGCGCCACGCCGGGC